TTTTGTGGATTTAAGTGTTCATTTTCGATTTGCACGGCAGAGCCATGTGATTCAGAAGCATTCCTTCTACTGTTTTGATCAATGAACACAAGGGGGTTTAAATTCAAACCAAAGGCATCCATAAAATCCCTATCCAAAACCACGTCATGACTCATAGACCCTTGGGCTACAACAATAAACTCAAAAGTAAATTCACTTCCATTCTTTTAACACAAGCAAAGCGTTTTCCATAAGCGTTAAGATGACTGTGATTTAAATCGAAAAATGTTATATTTAATTTGTCCATCGTTACTTTAGCTGGGACCAAACATTGTTTAATGAACGAAAAGCGATTCCAGAGTCTATGAGACATTCTCCAATCAAAGGGAAGTTTAAATTTTGTACGAAAAAAAATTTAAACAACGAAACAAGATCCAGGCTCTCTCTTGGGCTTGCGACAGTCTTTGGCGTAGTGACCCCTCGAGTTGCAGTTCCGACAGCGATCGTCACTTTGTCTCCTTTCCTTGGGAAGCATATGTTTGCGAATGCCTGTCGCATATCCTCTGGGTTTCCAAAGTGTTGGGCATATAGCCAGCGTTGAGCGTTGCTCTTCATCATGCGCATGCACTCCATGTCCAGGCCATAGATTCGTCCAAGGTTTTTAAGCTTTTTAACCCAGCTGCGCGCGCAAACCTTTCCGTCGAAATCCATTACGGCCTCCTTATTAAAGTAAAAACTTCACTTAGTTGGTTTTACATATGAAATTTTTTTGTGTGCATATATCCTAGCCAAATATACGTTGCAAGATCGAGTGCAGTTGGGTGACAGCTTGCATTGGCCACAATGGTCAAAAACTGTACGCGCAAAGTCTTCTAGATAAAGTGATTAAATTATATTTGGTTTTAAAGACGTGTGTTTTTTAAGAATTAATTTATGTTATCCGAACTGCAGTTTTAGCAATTTATTCAAACTTCATGAAGCTCTAGCATCTATTTATTAGTCAACTTAACCGTATAACAAAAGGGAGTCCATCTGAACCGGAAAATCTTGCTTTCATATTTGGAGGATTGCACCGATTTAAATTGTATACCTTAATTTGCATTAAAAATCGCAACGCGATTCTCTCATCTATCGTCTCGTTCGTCGTTGCCGCTGCGAGCTCATTGCCATCTTCATCGCTCCGTCAGTGTCGCTACCAGTGCTGCCAGATTTTGAGAGATAAAAAAAGCTAGATTGAAGAAAAAAATAAGCTAGAATGAGCTAAAAATTAAAAAAATTAAGCTAAAAATAAGCTAACCATGGAAAACATTAAAATAGTTGATTTTTTACTTTTATTGATATTATATTTATATAGCTATTAGAGCAAAGAAATAATTTCATCGACTTCATCATTCGATTCCATATATTTAGCGGATGAGCTGACTAAAGCGAATTATTTCGTTGGAAGTATGTAGTCATGGCAACATTTGCCATGACGTCGCAGTCCATATCTATAACATAAAAAAAAAATACTTAGTATATGTTAAATAATTTAAAATTTCAAAAACAAACCTTATTCTTAAAATTGCGTTCAAGCTTTTTAAATTCATTTTGTTGCGCAACTTTGTTTTGACCATGTTCATTTGGCTGAATACCCTCTCAACCGCAGCATTCGACCATGGCAGTGAAAGAATGTGCAAAGCAAATAACGCCAGTTGCTCGAAAGCTTTGTTTTGGCCAGCATCCTTATACATCAAAACTTCTGACCAAAACTCTATAGTTATTTCCTTTTTTTCCCAATTAATAAGGTGGATTTTTCCAAATTGGGATACTATTTCATAAATATTTTCATATTTGAAATATTCCAACAACGAAATAATTTTATCTGGCGTTTAATTGCTTGTAGCATATTGCCAACGGCGAAAATATCCATTTGTTTTAGTACTTCAATGTTATCAGGAAGTCTGAAATTACGCTGCAGATTAATACATATCATAAACAAAAAATTTTTTGTTATAAATTTTTTAAGCCGAAATTAGCTAAATGAAATTTGAAATAAGCCAGATTTTAAGCTATATGCATTTCAAGTATTTTTCAAGCTATTTCATTTTAAAATATGCTAAATCTAGCTTGAAACAAGAAAGAAAGCAAACTTCGGCAAGCCGAAGTTCATATACCCTTGCAGCTATCGCAAGAATTAAATATTTTTGAAAACATTAAAATTATGATTTACTTGCGTATATGTTTAAAAACATTGAAGCTATGACGATTTGCAGCTTAATTATTTGATTGTTCTTTTATATAAGTTTATTATTTGTATGGGAGCTATATGATATAGTCGTCCGATTTTGATGAAATTTAAACCATAATTCTAAAATATTTAACCATTGCTATATGTCGAAGAACTAAAAAAAAATTAAAAAACAGCAAAGTTATAATTTTTTTTTCAATTATTTTTCCGATTGTTCCTATGGGAGCTATATGCTATAGTCGTCCGATTTTGATGAAATTTTAACCATAATTCTGAAATATTTAACCATTGCTTTATGTCAAAGAACTGAACAAAAACTTAAAAAACAGCAAAGTTATAATTTTTTTTCAATTAATTTTCCGATTGTTCCTATGGGAGCTATATGCTATAGTCGTCCGATTTTGATGAAATTTAAACCATAATTCTGAAATATTTAACCATTGCTATATGTCGAAGAACTAAACAAAAAATTAAAAAACAGCAAAGTTATAATTTTTTTTCAATTATTTTTCCGATTGTTCCTATGGGAGCTATATGCTATAGTCGTCCGATCCGGCTCGTTCCGACTTATATACTACCTGCAATAGAAAGACAACTTTTGGGAAAGTTTCATGCAGATAGCTTTAAAACTGAGAGACTATTTGCATATAAACGGACGGACAGACGGACGGACAGACGGACATGGCTAGATCGACTCTACTAGTGATGCTGATCAAGAATATATATACTTTATAGGGTCGGAAACGTCTCCTTCACTGCAAACTTCTGACTGAAATTATAATACCCTCTGCAAGGATATAATAAGCTAAAATGGCAACAATGGAACTTACAACAGCCAGCTCAACCGCTCTCGCCAGTGTTGCTACGTTCTCTGCAAGCACAGTTCTTCATCGTCGGTATTGAAGTTACAGTGAGCCCCTTAGATTCGTTGTTGCACTGTTGCCAAATTTCATCTGGCCAGTCACTCTTTTCGCATTCGCACTTCGACCGCAATTCGATAATTGTTTCACATCGAGATCCGTTATTTGGAGGACAGCTATGTTGAGACCAATGTCGCAATCAAAGATCAGCAGGGTAAGGAATTAAACAACACCTGAGCCAGAGCCATCGTCAACCCTGCCCACTTTCGATGGGAAATTTGCAGAGTATATAAACAACAACCCGTTCAATCAAATTATCGCTCGTGAGCTATCCATGACCAACCTGTAAAAGTTCAACCACTTGCTGAACAGCCTGAAGGGGACTGCACTGGACGCAATCAAGGCGTTCCCAATAACTGATAAGAACTTCCCAAAGGCTTTAAACCGGCTTATTAAACGATTTGATAATTCCACCCTCATATCTCTAGAAACCATCGCCGCACTGTTTAAACTCCAACCTGTCGAGAAATTCAATGCAACACAACTCAAAGGCTTAGTAGGCAAGGCGTCTGCTATGTTTTGGAGCTCTGAAATCCCTTGAAACCGCCTCAAATATTGCGCAGCCAGGACACCCGCAACAAATGGAATGAGTCTTTGAACTTTAAATACCTTCCGTCCTGTAAACCGTGTTCAAAGGTGCTGAAACGGCACTGTCAATTTTTGCAGTCGAGTAGCACCGCAACGCGGGGAACATCACACCCAGGCAACATCATTCGCAATCATTCATGCTACGTGTGTGCTATGCACCTCGACTAGTCCCAAATTGTTGCACTCAAGGCATTCAAACTGATGCCATAATCTGAGCGATTTAACAGCGCTAAAAAACATAACCTCTGCATCAATTGTCTCGGCATAGCTCAGTACCCATCAAAGAGTCGTTGCCGCATCTGCAACCTGGACCTTTGGGCCATAGAAAGAAGTCCCCGCAGCCGCGCAGATAACCTATCACAGCCAAGTGAACACAAATGCCAAATGCTATGGTTTTAGTCAGGGATGCGTCAGGAACGTACCGACTTAATTCCAGTTTAATCTCATCAACGAGGAATTCACCAATAAACTTCGGCTTAGGTAGGAAAAATTCAGCATGGGAATTCGCAGCGTAGGAGACTCTTTGACCAACACTAAGGACTTAGCCATAAAAACTTTAAAATTGCCCAGCACTGCAGTTCCCACTGCAATTACGGTTTAAATTATATCAAAATCGGACGACTATATCATATAGCTCCCATAGGAACTATCGGAACAAAAATGAAAAAAAATGTAACTTAGCTGTTTTTATACCCTTGCAGAGGGTATTATAATTTCAGTCAGAAGTTTGCAACGCAGTGAAGGAGACATCTCCGACCCTATAAACTATACATATTCTTGATCATCATCACTAGGCGAGTCGATCTGTCCATCTGTCCGTCTGTCCGTCCGTCTGTCCGTCCGTTTCTACGCAAACTAGTCTCTCAGTTTTAAAGCTATATGCATGAAACTTTCCCAAAAGTTGTCTTTCTCTTGCAGGTAGTATATAAGTCGGAAAGAGCCGGAGCGGACGACTATACCATATAGCTCCTATAAGAACAATCGAAAAATAATTTTAAAAAAATTAAAACTTTGCTGTTATTTTAACTTTGGTGTTTTTATTTTTAGTTCTTCGAGATATAGCAATGGTTAAATATTTCAGAATTACAGTTTAAATTTCATTAAAATCGGACGACTACAGCATGTAGCTCCCATAGGAGCAGTCGTATAGTTGCCATAGGAACTATCGAATAATAAAGCTGCAAATCATCATTGCTTCAATGTTTTAAACATACACGCAAGTAAATCATAATTTTAACGTTTTCAAGAGTATTTAGTTTTTGAAATAGGGTATATGAATTTCCGCTTGCCGAAGTTTGCTTTCTTTCTTGTTTATTATATATTAATTTTTCCGATTAGTAATAATATTTTTAAAAATTCTTTTTGACTTATTAACAATTTGACAATATAGAAATAGGCTTTTAATTCTGATAAAATCGGGAAACGATATCGTAGGATCGTCATAGTCTCAGTGCTTTTAAAAATATACGAAAGTAAATCATAATTTTAATGTTTTCAAGAATACCTAAATTTTGAAATAGCGACAAATGTATATATACTTTGGCTTGCCGAAGATAGGTAGAGCGCTTATTTCTGTTAACTCTAGTGTTCCATCGGAGATAGTTCAGACTGATAACCCCAATGAAGTATAATTTTTTAATGTAAAAGTTTCCTTACATGCCTTACCTATTTTTGAAACCTGTTCAGTTCAATATCTCCCCTGGCTCTGTCAATTTAATTTATGAACATCATTTGTCTGTTTTATCTCTGCTTTCTGACAGGGATCATTTAATCTCATTAATCTCCCAGATATATCTTGGTCATCTCCTACTGACTTACTTGTTTGCACGCCTTTGTCGGATCATGACGTTCATGATGGACTTTTAGATTATTACAACAAATTAGCGTAATCTGTAATTAAAATTTTTATTTGTTTTGGATCAGTCTTAGGCTGTTGTATCTAGAATTGACCCTCTAGTTGTTCCATAGGACCGATACCATCCCACAATGGAATTGACAACTTCCCTGCCCTGCCCTGACACATATTCCCATTCAGTTTTCGAGACTTAAACGAAATGCTTCAGTAAATGCGACTTTAATAAATTAAACTACTTGATTTCCGAATAAAACTGAACAGACTTATACAATTGCATGGATATGGAAAATGCCACTGAATTATTCTATAGCCTTTTAAACACTTTTTTAATAAATGCGTTCTTGACAGTCTTCCCTCTGGACATAACAGACCTCCGTGGTTTACACAACAGCTTCAAAGACTAAAATACCTAAAAACAAACACAAAAAGTACTAAATGACGGGCAAGCCATTTGATTTTTTCGAAATATGTGGTTGCTCGATCGGATTTTATTGTTCTTAACAGTCAATGCTATTCTATCTTTTGATCCGATGTAAAACCGAATTTTCAAATAATCCGAAGCAATTTTATAACTTTGTAAACGTCAAGTGAAAAAACTCCGCATTACCTTTGATT